TTTTTTTTTTTTTTTTTTTTTTTTTTTTTTTTTTTTCTTTAAAATTATAACGAAAAAAGAAAAAAGGAACAACTGCAACTGACCTTTTATATTATGCACAGGTATACATGTTTGATTCAAAAATATGGTTTATGGTATGGCACCGTGGCTTTGTCACCCCTTGCGTAACACCCACTGTAACTTTATACCCAGTTTACACAGCCCCCAGGTACTTGGGCGTGGTATCTTTTTCCCCATTTATCGATCACAGGCAGATCGATCAATCCATGCACGCTTCGAGAGATATAGACATATTTCTTCCGTGAAACGGAACAGGAACACTTGCTTTCGACATTTTAATCTATCGACCACGCGCTGCCATCGAATATTTATAATAATATTATGCCACCATGGGATTATTTATTTAACCATATGTTTTATCCGAGAATATGGATAAAGCCGAGGGAAAACTTATTGTCCAATTATAAATTTTGTGTAACTATAAAAACAAGAGATCGTTATTTCCATTTCAATTGGCAGAAGATTAGAGAGAATATTGTGCGTTTATTTTACGTGTATAAGAAGAAGAAGAAAAAAATGTAAGTTATAATAAGTATGAAAAGAGAATTTTAAGAATTTTAAATAGAAGATTTTTTGATTTTTTCTTATTGATGTTCGTAATACAATTTTTATATAATTGAATTCTTTTTTAGCGTTAAAGACTTTCAAAAAAAAATTCAGAATTAACACTTCTGCTAATTTCATTGTTCAATGAGTTTCGAAATAATTAATTGAATAAGTTTTTGCAATGGAAAAATGTTTAAATGGACGTGAATAGACTGTGGATGGTTATAATTCACAATAGTTTCGTAAGCCTATTTAAAAATTCGCGCCCTTGTGCCATAATATCGAAGAAGAATGATACATGGAAACGGCAATGCGGTATTCATCGGATATATTCCTATAATTCAACAAGGTTTACGTCCGCTTTCCTGACCTTGCATGTCCCCGAAATCTTTTTATTGTATAGACAGCGTATGATATTTTGGCGTGCACGAAGGCCGATTCGCGTGTAAATTACGTGGAGGAGACGTGGTTACGTTTGCAGACTCGGCTCGATTTCATCGACTCGCTTCTTTTGTGCTTTGACAGATCATTAGTATGATAAGAGGGATGCATTCCCTTTTATTTGCAAATACAAGCTTTTATAGCGAGCAACCGTGGAATACATTTCGTAAGTTCGATGTTTGAATTTCCCGCGACATCTTATGAATATTCCGATCGAGATCTGTTTTATTATATGTAGGTATTTTTTTTTCTGAGATAGAGGAGGATGAGGGATTTTTAATTGATTTTATAATAAGAAAAATTCGTTGAATAGTGAGAATAATTTTTTGTCCAATCGTGTTAAGAATTATCAGTAATCATTAAAATTACTGGTAATTTTTGTTACGAAAAAAACTCTATAAAATGAAAAAGTAATTTCCATTTTCACGAAGTAAGGAAAAATTGTAAAATTTAATCAAATAATCATAACTTTTTACCATTTTCAGTCACCTCAACATCCACGAAGAATCATCAGTCATTACAATTACTAGAATTACTAGTAATTTTTATCCAATAATAGAATAAAGAAGAAATTTTCAATTTTAACTTATATTTTTTAAAAAAAGTGAAAGAAAAATTGTAAACTCTGATCAAATAAGTCAAGAAAATTTTATTAAATTTCATAATTATTTATCCAACCAGTGAAGAATCATCGTTATTATTATTGAAAATTACCAGTAAATCTTGTTCACGTAAAACAAACACTTCCACGAAATCAATTATACATCGATTGTCAAACAAACCATATCGAAATCTGCTGTCCATCCGCGGGGAAAAGAATATTTTCCCTATCACGTAATCGCGGAACGTGCTACCGTGGCACAGGTAGAGTTTGTAAAAGGCGGTGCGGCCACCTAAACGCCCACTAACAGGTAGGTGTCTCCTTTTCAAGTTGACCGCGGCCTTTTTACGGTCTCGACGATTTTCTATAAAGGTACCTTTCCCTCCTTGTGCACGTCCCCGTCCGTGCATTGTCGCCTGTTGCACCAGATCGCCCGAAGCGCGTGAATGATGGACGCTTTTCTTTCGTTAGAAACGTTTCTTTCCACGATATACAGCACCGTGCAAAAGATATTATACCACCGTTTCGTAATTTCTCGTAAACTTTCTTTGAATTGCTGAATCAACTTTTGTAATATTCGAATTCCTTGCAATCCATATAAGATAAGAACAATTTTATCCTCTATTAACATTGCTTTTCAGTTAAAGTATGAAAGGATAAAAATCTAAATTTGATGGAAAAAGAAAAAAAGGAATTTATCATTATGTATCGTTAGTATTTTATCAGATAGTTATTACAGATAGATTAATAAATAGTCATTTCCCTTTTTGCAATAATTTTGGATGAAAGGGATTTGGAAATGGATCGATGTAATTTTTTTTTCTTTAATTTCCAAATTAAAATTGCAATATATTTTTCTGGTGAAATGACGAATTCGAATGACGACAAGAACGTTGGGACCACGATCGGAGGAAGATGGAGGATCGTAAATATAAAATAAAAATCGGTGGAAACGGATTTCTGCGCCGACGAAAATGGCGAACAGCGCCAAAAGCCCATTTTTTCTTTCGACACTGTGCAATAATTCACTAAAAATTTATCGCGCGCGCAAAGATGTCGATTCCATGTGGCAATCATAAAGCCCGCCACGGAAATCGCGACACCCGGGGACCGTTCTTTTCGAAAGTGACGTAAGTCGTAGGAAGAAACTGCAACACACGTATGCAGGCCTGGATATATTCGCGACCTTATCGACGATGATTCACCTGATCATCCATCTTGTTCCCAGTGTGGGCATACGATATTTTATTGGAAGTTATTAATCGTTTATTGCCGAAATAACGGAAAATTTCCTTACGAATAGTAGGCTGTTTTTTCTGTTAAAAGACATCGATGGTATGAATTCAGATTCTTTTAATTTTTTCTTTTTTTTTCCTTCTTTTCTTTGAACTTTTAACTAACTATTTTTTTTCTTTCAGGAAAGATCTCAGAATTTTGAAAAGATTGATTACTTTCAGATGTATGAGTTCTGATTATTTTTTTCTTTTTTTCGAATGAAGTAGTTATTTCAGAAGTCTCAGAAATTTGATTATTTCGTTGACACACTTTTTCGTTTTTTAGATTTTTTGAGTTTAACAAATTGAAGATTGAAAAATACGTAAGATTAAAAATATTTAATTTTGGAAACTTTATAGTGGTTTTCAAATCTAAGAGATCAGAAATCAAGGAAATTTTTCTTGGAGAAAACATTGGAAGCTAAAGTTTTCGAAACATTTTCTACTTTTCCAAGCGGATGATAATTTTCCAAACTTTTCCAATACGAAAGAATTGCATCGTACCGATTGATCATTAATTTTTCATTGGCCAGAGATCTCAGTTATCAGGAAATCGAGTTAACTGTGTCAAGACTCCAATGATTGTACACCCTTTCTGAGAAACATTCTCACGATACGATCACCCAGTGTCGATGACGATCACCTTTTCAACGATCGGCATCACAATCGATATCGACCCTTTTTTGGTTATCACCATGATCGATCACGATATAGTAAAATTCTGAATTCATTGCCGATATAAATATTCGACCATTGTTCTCCTACAACAATGATAATATATATACTTTGTAGAAAATTTATTCATGGAATCCATAAAAAAGTTCCCTATGATCTCGAAATATTGATAAACGAAATTTGCGATATAATAAAATCAAGTTACATACAATTACAACATATATCATGAAAAAAAAAATTGAATTATATTTTGAAGATTAAATTTAAAATTTTGAAAATTAAATAAGCATACAAATTTTATTTATTCTTTTACCATAAAATATAGAATTCTAAAATAAATAAACGCTTGTCTCGCTTGAATATTTAATATTCAATAAGCGAGACAACCATTACCACCACTTTCACAGTTAATAAACGTAAAAATTCGATTGCAAATCACATCTAATAATTACTAATTACTATGAGTGTAATTGTGCGTCGTGTTTTAGAATTCATCAATAAAAAAGAAAAAATAAAAAGAAAACCAGCGGATTTGTTATTAACAATGACCGATTGTACACGGATAGAACGTTGAAAGAAGCCAAGTCTCGCGTTAACACCTTTTCAACGCGAAAAATGTGAAAAAGAAAAGAAAAAAAGCGAAACGTTGGATGATGTAACGGATCTACGCGCGACAGTGTCCATTATCGATTAGCATACGTCGTCGATTAATCCATCCGCAACAGTGGATGCTGTGAATAGGCCAGTAAACACGTGCACGTTGCTGGAGAAGGATGATTCTAATTGTTCGAGGTACAGTTCGAGCCAGGCAGTCGTGACGCTTGCCTCTGATCGTGATTCAGGTAGAAAATATACATTTTTTTTTTTATTTTCGAGTGTTCGAAAATAGCTTGGATCGTATTATCGTGGTAATAAATGTCCGGAGACAGTGCAGTTGAATCATCGTAACAGAATTCACCGTTCAATTCCTTCGTCCCTTCCTTGTCTCCTCTCGAGAACGAGTTTTTGTTGCGTGTGCGTTATGCGTTAAGAGTGAGTAAACTGAGCGAAGTATTTTTTTTTTTTTTCTTTTATTTCTCTTTTCTTTTCTTTTCTTTTTTTTTTTTAATTTCGATTTGAAAATTAATGAAAAGAGATTAAGATTTTTTCTTTTTTTTTTTTTGGTTAATTTTCAAGTTATTCACGAGTTCTTTTTTATCTGTAATTTTCTTTTCTTTTTTTCTTAAATTCTTTCCTCATTTATGCCTATTTTATGTTTCGACATTATTGTAATTTTAATTTCAATAATTCTCTGGTAAAATTATAATTTTAGAATCAGCAATAAATTGATAATAGATATGTGTTATAATTCAATTGAATTTCTTCGCAGAAAATCTTTTAACGGGGAAGTATGCGAATTCAATTTTGTCAATCATAAAAAAAGAAGTTATACGCGGGAATTAAATAAAGAAAAATTATACAAAGATGATCTTAAAAAATTTACTACTTAACCAAAGATTTTGATCATATCAATGTACAATAAATATAACAAATGGAATAATAAAGAGAAAATAATTCCAACTGGATATATCATAAATGAATCACGCTGTACGTTGAATTGTAATCGTTCGAGCTAGCTTGAAAAGAAAAAAAAGAATCTATTAAAGAGAAAAAAAAATTCTCTGAAGATGCTTAAGGTGACAAAGATGACAGTGCAAATATCACGTGGATGAAAGTGTTGAATATATACTTGACAGTTCGATTGCAGAAGGAGAATTGTGGTCGCCCTAACTCGGTCGTCTAATGAAACATTAATCCCACGCGGCAAATCACTAACAATTCTATACCAGTACTTGTATATATATATATACTTGGGTAATATTACGCGATTATTACTCGAAGGAAAACTGTTTCGATTTGAGGCCATCGTCGAAGGCGCGCAGTTTTTCATCCTGGTGAAAAGTTTTCCACGTTAACCTCTCAATATTGCACACTGACACGTGTGCGCTTAATATTCATTTGTGTTTCATTCGAGTATGAAATTAGAAATTAGAAATTATTTTTCTCGAAGATACAAAGGAATATTTTCCAATGGAGAATCGATTTAGAAAAGAGGAAAAATAATAAGTAAATATAAATATAAAAAACGTTCGAATTCGTGATAATTTTAAAAAAATTAAAAAAAAAAAGAAATCGTAGAATCACACGTGTACACGTTTGATATAAAATATCCTTGGAAGAAAGTGGACTGAAAAAAGGGGGCCAGGTTAAGGAAATACGATACATTTCCTCTCATTAGGGTATTCCGCCATAACAACCTTTGTCCAAGGTTAACGTTAAAATTCCCACAAGGATCACAGGATCACCTCCTCCTACTTCTTGTTTAGAATCAAAAATTCTCGATTAACCACGCTTTGTTACACGGCAAAAACAATCTCGATCCTCCACACTGTGTCATTGTAATTTCCCGCTACACGTGTTTACAGCCGCTTATAATGCATCTTAATTGCCTTTTCGTGTGAATCTTACGTAATTCCGTTTCTTTGATCCACCTACGCTTGCAAGAAGCATTGCCAAAAATAACACGTTATGAAGCAATCCAAAAACCCGTTCCTCTCTAAATCACTCCAATCACTATTGTCAATAATTCTATTTATCCGGGAAAAATTCTTCTCCACAAAAATATCGAGTTTACATGTTAATTATAAATATCATTCAAATCTGGAGGATCGAAGATCGACTTAACATTGTGATCTAACTTAATTTCTGTCGATTCATAGAAAATAAGGTGATTTCAATGACTTAGAAAGTGAATCATAAGAGTTATTTCTAAAATTTAGCCTCGAATTTTCATTAATCTTATTATTAATTTGAATCTTATAAGATTATTTTACAAAGATAAGGATAGATATAGTTTCTTTATTTCTTTATCTAATTTCAATAGTACAACGATAAAACTATATATATCCAAATTTCCACAATTCTATTTTCTGAAATAGGAGGTACGATATCAAAAAAAAATAATATTTTAAAATTAAATTGACAAATTCGCTTGCACTAAAAAAAAATTGGAACAATCCTTCCTAATTACATTCATGTTTAAAAACGAACTCAAAATTCATTCGCGCGAAAAAGCGAAAAAAAGTTAAACGATCTCTTCCGAAATCCGAAAATGATCGAGGAAAAGAAAAGAAAAGAAAACTTTTGCTCGTCAACGTAAGCAGGTAACACGGAAAGTGTCCGGATCTGGGCCAGCCCGCGTCAAAACCCCACCCGGCCATCCGTTATAATCCGCCTATCTCTCGTCTCCCTCTTTGATCCAACCCGTGCCCCTTGGCGGGGCTCCATCTCTCCCTCTATCTCTCGTGTTTCGCGCCGCTAGCCGTCCGATCGGGCAGGGTTTGTACTAAGTGTCCACGTATACTCCTCGAAGGTTCAGTTCGGAACGCGCACTCGAACTCGAAGGATCCTCGAAGCCTCCTTTGATCCCCCACTCGGGCCCCACACAGGAAACGTACGTACGGAAAGAGAGAGGCTTTCCTTGCTCTCTGGCGAACAAACGAACAACACCTTCCAACCTGTTGCAACCTGTTCGCTCGTCGTCCCGCTGGATCGATCTTTGCCGATTTTTAATCATCCATGAGCGGCGACTCCTCGGGGCGAGGAGACGGAGTTTGGATTATACAGCCGAGGAGGGAGGATCCGGAGGATATCTTGCAACGATATTGAGCGGATTCGAGGTGTAAGATTGGCGGGATGATCGACAGGACACGGTTCGCGGTCCTTTTCGGGCTGCTCGGTCTTGCCTGCGGCTTGCGTAAGTTTGCTTACATGTTTTTCAAATTTTGGAGTAATTAAAAGAATGTGAAATTTGT